TGCCAACATGCCTGCTTTATTAAATTGGAACTTTAATCATAGTTTTGCCTTTGACTCTGATTTAATTCTACATGGTATTTGGAATGCTTACACCAGCTGCCTCTTGAAAGAAAGCACCTTTGGGACAATAATGACTTGGAGGATTGTGGATCTCCATAGACAACAAGATGGGTCGCATGGAATTCCCTCAAAGAAGCAGAGTCTTTTAGGAAAAAAAATAGTTTTACATTTCATCATGGAACTGCAGTACGGGGAGGGACCTTGGAGGTCTTCTAGTCCAGCCCCCTGCTCAAGCAGGAGACCCTATATCACTTCAGACAAATAGCTGTCCAATCTCTTCGTAAAAATCAATCAATCAAACAAACGATCAGAATAGAGCAGAAAGGGACCTTGGAGGTCTTCCAGTCCAACCCCCTGCTCAAGCAGGAGAGCCTACACCCCATGGTGATGAAATATTTGCAACCAAATTGACGTTGTGGTCCACCACTGTCTGGAGTCGGACAGTGAGGAGGTTGGGGAGGAGCATGGGCCAGTCCTGAGGCTGAGGGAGGCTCGGACGAGGGCTCAGTGTCCGAGGCAGAGACGGGGTCAAGGCCATCTGGCAGTTTTCAGCTGCCTTCGAAGCTAGATAGCAGTGAGGCAGAGGAGCAGCTGGAGCTGTTCCCAGTGTGTGCATGGGCAGAGCTCCCAGAAGAACTCAGAAATCAGGGTCGACTTGGGAGCAAGGTCACAGGTGGAAGGTGATTGGCCCCTCCCAGAGGAAATAAAAGAGGAGCGAAAGGGGAGTGGGCTTTAGCAAGAAACAATTCTTTTGTTTGTTCCTTCGTTCGATTCCTTTCAGGAGTGTGAAGATCTGTCCGTGAATCTCAGAGACTCTGTGCCCAGAGTCTTTCCTTGCACAGCAGCTCATGTGGAAAATATTTACATGGCAGCTTTCCAAGGTAGATAAGGTCTGTGGTCATAAATACGCCTTTGAAAAACTGTTTGCCAGGCTTTGGCTGGATGTGAATGAGAGGAATTCACATTCATTTAATAAAAGGGGGTTTGTTGGGACCAGGACTCTGCCTCCTGCTTTTTGGGGAAGCCTAGGTCAGAACAATTGCCAAGCTCGAAGCTCAAACCAACAGCCAAACCTACATTTGCACAGAAGGGCATTCCAACATACGAATTAAACTTACGCTGGATCTCAGAGAGGGTGCCTTCTGATGGCCCACGTGGCTTACTCGAACAGATTTTATCGGGGAAAACGTCATAAGCCTGAATTGGGAGGGAAAGTCACAGTTTTTGTTTCATAGGTAAATAGGTAGGTAGGTAGGTAGGTAGGTAGGTAGGTAGGTAGGTAGGTAGGTAGGTAGGTAGNCACCCATCGTAAAGCATGCTGGCTTAGCAATTCTGGGACTTGTAGTCCACATATCTGAAAGTTGCTAACATTTCAAATCATTGTTTTAAATCTATGCCAGCCTCTACATCCAGCCTGGTCTTCCGTGCTCTCTCCAACCTTTCTTTCACCCTTACCTCATGGGATGCAGGTCAAAGAGTGGTGGCTGCAGCTCGGCCAGTTCAATGGCGGTGATGCCCAGGGCCCAGATATCGCACAGGTGGTTGTATCCGCCTTTCTTCTCCACCGCGGCCACCTCTGGTGCCATCCTGGGAGAATCAGACAGAATGCAAAGTAAGAAGAGGACGGGGACTCCCAAACACATTCACTCTTTGTTGTAAATCAGCAAAGGCAATAACTTCCAAGAACTGGATTTAAGCAAATAACAGAGTTGGAAGGGACCTTGGAGGTCATCTAGTCCAAGCCCCCCCACCCCGCCCAAGCAGGAGACTCTACACTGTTTCTGACAGATGGCAGTCCAGGCTCTTTTTGAAAGCTTCCAGTTTTCATGCAACACAACAACATCGGCGGTGGGATTCAGCCGCTTCAGACCGGTGCGGGCGAACTAGATGTAAATTTTGCATCCGATTGTTGTAAGGATTGGCTGGCTCCACCAACCCCGCCCCGCTCCATGCGGCCCGTTAATCATGCTGGGTAAGTACAAGGCCCTGGCAGAGCGCGTGGGAGGGCAGAAAAAGAAGCCTTCCGGAAGTACCGGAAGTCCTAAAAACTTGCCCTCCTTCCAACCTCCGGTGGGCCACCGGAGCCCGGGTGAGGCCGTTTCCCCCACCAGGAGGCTCAGGGAAAGCCTCCAGAGACTGGGGAGGGCGAAAGCTCCCCCCGCCCCATTCCGTGGTGCAGGAGGCCGAGTAGGCCACGCCCAACCAGCAAGCGGGCAGAGAACTGGTTGCTAACATTTTTAAATTCCCACCGCTGGAACGCGTCCTATCTCTGCAGCAGAGAAGCCTAATCAATAAAACCAGCAACGGGGTCTGAAGGCGAACAAATAATCGTTATCCCTCTCTCAACCACTGTGGCCCAAAATCTATTCGCTCCGTTACGCCATGCCGATTTTCAACCCTCTGCCTTTTTTCCCCACTCGTTTCCCTTTTTAACCAGACGACTCCATTCTGGATGAATGAATTGAATTCATTCATGTTTCATGGTTTCGCCTTGGGATTTAATTTAAGATTTTGCAGGGCCGCCAAGTTAAGACTTGCTCATTCTTCCGTGGGACACACACACACAGCGTCGACCTCGCAATAGCGGTGCGGGGGGCAGGTGGTAAAGTAGCAAACACAAGGGTTTTTACCAATAGGGCGTTCCGATGAACGATTTTCGCTTGGCCACCGAAGCGGTCAATTCTGCCGAGACCCCAAAGTCGGCTGTGGAGGAGAGAGAAGGAGGAACAATAGCTGGAATAAGTGGTGCAGTTATGCAAAAGATGGGAATTGTAGTCCAATTTTAATGTCTAGTCTAGTCCAGTCTAGTCTAATTCTATTTTTATTCTAATTCTAATTCTATTCTAATTCTATTCTAATTCTATTTTTATTCTAATTCTATTTTATTCTATTTTAATTCTTATTCTAGTTCTATTCTAATTCTATTCTATTTTATTCTAATTCTATTCTTGTTCTGTTCTACTATTCTTTCATTTATACTAATTCTATTCTTATTCTAATTCTAGTTCTATTCTAATTCTATTTTAATTCTATTCTAATTCTGTTTTATTCTTATTCTAGTCTGTTCTATTCTACTCTACTCTATTCTAATTCCATTTTATACTGTTCTTATTCTATGTTCTGTTCTACTATATTCTAATTCCATTTTATTCTATTCTTATTCTAGTCTGTTCTATTCTAGTCTAATTCCATTTTATTCTTCCATTTTATTCTATTCTTATACTAGACTGTTCTGTTCTACTATATTCTAATTCCATTTTATTCTATTCTTATTCTAGTCTGTTCTGTTCTACTCTATTCNTCTTAAAGTGGCCAAGTTTGGCTCACTGAATTCTGGGAGTTGAAGTCCACCAGTCTTAAACTTGCCAAGTTGGGAGACCCCTGTTTTAAAGAAACGGGAATAACTTCTCTGCGAAATTACTTGCCTCCCATTGGCTGATTCCAGGTGATGTCATGGAATGCTCAAACATTCCACCGAAATGAAAAGACCATTCACAAAAATGCTCAATTGCTTTGTTTTCCTTCATCTTCTTCACACCCCCTATTGCAGGAAGTCCTCAACTTACGACCACAACCGAGCCCCAAATTTCCATTGCTAAGCGAGACAGTTATGTAACTTTTGCCCCGTTTGCTACTTTTCTCGCCACCATTGTTAAATGAATCCCTGCGGTCGTTAAGTGAGTAACATGGTTGTTAAGGGAATCTGGCTCCCTTGTTGAGTTTGCTTGGTCACAAAAGAGGATCACAGGACCCCCTTCACCCCTGGGACACGGCGATCGTGATAAATATGAACCAGTTGCCGTCCAAATTTTGATCACATGCCCATGGGGATGTGATAACGATTGCAAGTTTGAAAAATAGTAATAAGTGGCTTGTAACTCTAAATGGTCATTAAATGAATGGTTGAAAATTGAGGACTACCTGTGTTGAAGAGTGGCTGAGGCTGATGGGAGCTGGAGTCCCAACTGTTGAGAAGATGCCACGGCCAGCATTTTTGCAGACAAATTTGGGGCTTTGGTAATTCTTAAGCCAGAAATGGCTATGAAGGATGGTCAAATATACACACACACACATCAAAATGTTGTGTAGCTGGTTTTTGTAAAAAGATCAAACCAGTGGCATATAATTATTATTGTTATTATTTGCTATTGTGGGTGGATTTAATCCTGCCTCTCCCCAAGGAGCCAAATTGATATGCTGATTTTTCAGTGATGGAAGCAAAAATGTGGGTTTTGCAGCCGTCACCAAAGAATTCTAGGATTTTGGAAGCTGTAATTAGGAACTCAGAAATACACGCCTACCGAGACGGGTTATTTTAATCCTTTTTTTTAAACCAGAGGGACTGAAAAGGTAGTGCTTGCATTAAAGAATAGAATAAAATGGAATTAGATTAAAATGGAATTAGAATAGAGTAGAGTAGAACAGAACAGACTAAAATAAGAATAAAACAGAATTAGAATAAGAATAAAACAGAATTGAAATACAATAGAATAGAATTAGAACTAGAATAAGAATAAGAATAGAATTAGTATAAATNCAGCTGAAGTGGCCTGCAGTACTGCACCCTAACCACTGTGCCACCTCGGCTCTTTAAGTACAGGGCCAGCACGGAGGCTCAGGGCGAAAAATGGACCTACTGGAAGTTCTGGAAGTCCGCTAACGGGCTGGTTTCCAGCTTCCGGAGGGGGCTGAGGGAGGCTATTTTCGCCCGGAGCCAGGGGAGGGCGAAAAATGGGCATCCCGGAAGTCTGGAAATGGCTCTGTTTCCGGCCTTCAGAGGGCCTCCGGATCCTGGGGAGACTGTTTCTGCCCTTCCGGAGGCTCAGGGAAAGTCTCCGGAGCCTGGGGAGGGCAAAAAATAGGCCTACCGGAAGTTCGGAAACGGACCAGTTTCCAGCTTCCAGAGGGCCTCCAGATCCCAGGGGAGGCCATTTCCACCCTCCCGGAGGCTCGGAAAAAGCCTCCGGAGCCTGGGGAGGGTAAAAATGCCCCTCCCCCTGCTGTAAGGAGGCTGAGTAGGCCACGCCCCCCTCAGCAACCGGGCAGAGAACTGGTTGCTAAAATTTTTCAATCCCACCCTTGGTTAAAACTGGTTTAGGGATGAAGCTAGCAAAGAGGGATAGCCCCCCTCCCCGAATGGGGAAAACAGGAAGCCCAGTAAAATATCCCATAATCCCCTGGAGCTGACACTAAATCAGGAGACAGGTAGTCCTTAGATTACAACAGTTCATTTAGTGACCGTTCAAAGTGAAAATGGGACTTACGACCATTTTTTTGCACGACCTCTGTGGCGTCCCCACAAGGAGACATGATCAAAACTCACCTGTTTTGCAACTGACTTACATTTATGACGGTCCCTGGGGATCATGCGATCCCCTTTTGGTGACCTTCTGTCAAGCAATGGGGAAGCCAGATTCACTTAACAACCATGTCACTCACTTAACGATTTCCTTCGCAACAAAAACGGGGCGAAAGCCGCTTAAGCAAGGTCTCGGTTATCAACATAAAGCTGCACACAGTGGTCGTAAGTCGAGGACTACTGGGAAAATAAAATGGCCGCTCACGAATCTCTCCAGCATCCCCAGTGAAGACGATGCGGTATTCGTTTCCTTTCCTGCGTTGTTTCTAGACAATTTTGATTTGGGAAGGGGAGCTGGAGGGTGGGATTAACTTTTGCCCGCTCCCCAAGCTGGCATCACCTGTAAGAGTTTTTCTGCCACTGGTCGTTTTCTTGGGTTTTTGGTCAAGGAGAGTTTGAGGAAGTGGTGGAAATCAGGAGACCTGGGAGGACAAAACAGGAGCGCAAATGAAGAGAATAATTCCTAGTGCCCCAGGGAAAGAATTGTGTCTCTTACACACACCCCCACACACTCACCAACACGCCTTATCTTTTAGCTTGGGGGGCTGGAAGTTGCTCTTCGACATCAACATCAGAGCCCTGCAGGGCAAAACAAGACAGAGTTAAAACCAACTTTCTTTTTTCTCCTTCGTTTTAAAGCAGGGCTGTCCATATTTGGCAGGTTTAAGACTGGTGGACTTCAACTCCCAGAATTCAATTCAACTCTATTGCTGGCTGAGGAATTCTGGGAATTGAAGTACAGTTGAATTGAATTCTGGGAGTTGAAGTCTGAAAGAGCCGAGGTGGCGCAGTGGTTAAATGCAGCACTGCAGGCTACTTCAGCTGACTGCAGTTCTGCAATTTGGCTGTTCAAATCTCTCCGGCTCAAGGTTGACTCAGCCTTCCATCCTTCCGAGGTGGGTAAAATGAGGACCCGGATTGTTGTTGGGGGCAATATGTGCTGACTCTGTAAACCGCTTAGAGNGGCCAGCATGGGGAATTCTGGGAGTTGAATTCCACAAGTCTTAAAGTTGACAGGTTTGGAGACCCTTGGACTCTTTCATCCCTATGCTGCGGCTCCCTGTCGCTGGTTGGGCTCCACAGTTGATAGGCTTTTGGTTAGGACAGGTAGAGGAAAAAGGACGCCGCGCTAGGAGGAGGCTTCCGGTCGGCTCCAGAATGGAACCGGGGGGGCTTCCAGTTAGGACCTTTGCGACTCTTTGAGTGTTTAAGGTTGCCGACCCCTGCTCTAGCAGACCTCTTAGAAAACGGTGTCAGCACAGCTGGTACTTGTAGGCAAACATACATTTGAAATGTGTTTGAATATTAATAGCTCGGGTTGATGCACAACTCACTGATAATGTCTCCTCGAATGGTGATGAAATGTTGGCAACCAAATTGCCAAGCTCAGAGCTCAAATCAACAGCTAGATGCAGCCAGTTCCTGCAACCGTTCATCGTATGTTTTAGCCTCCAGTCCTCTAATCCTCTTTCTTGCTCTTCTCTGCACCCATTCTAGAGTCTCAACATCTTTTCGGTATCATGGTGACCAGGTCTGAATTTTCCCAGGTTTGAAGTGGAAGCGATTAATGTAACCCCAATCTTCCTCCCCACTCCCCCAATGTGCCCCCAACACAACTGTACCTCGAAATCCCCATCGTCCAAGGCAGTTGCGTCCAATTCAGGGTTTGTGGCTTTATCCAGTAATTCTACGGCAAGAACGCGGGCCAAAGGCTGGCAGACGAAAGGATGCTACAGAAGAAGAGACACGGATAAGCCGAAGAGATCAAAAGCACTCCCAGTTTTCATTGGGGATCCCAAGGGGGCCCCAAGATTTGCCACAGCAAATGGACACCCCTGTCTGAAAATCTCCCATAATATGTTAAAGCCTGGGGTGGGATTCAGCCGATTTGGACTTGTTTGGGTGAACTGGCTTCTAATTTTGCATCCGGTTTGCCAAACCGGTTGTTTTAAGGACCAGCTGGCCCTGCCCCTCCCGCCATTTAGCAATAGCAATAGCAGTTAGACTTATATACCGCTTCATAGAGCTTTCAGCCCTCTCTAAGCGGTTTACAGAGTCAGCATATCGCCCCCACAA